GTAAATTGAGTCACAAGCAAGCAGCAACACTCACAGGACTCAGGGTCGAAAGTATCATCGACCCAACAGGCAGCGTGGCAGAGGCAAAAACAATGAGGGTCACCCTGAGACAAGGGGACCGAGCAACCCTCAAACTCGCACACAGCGAGTGGGGACTCCGGGGTCACATCCATCGGACCCACGCGCCCCCTAGGGGATTCCCAGGGTCCTGAGCGTTTACTTTAAGAGGACTCGCGCTCAGGTAGTCCCAGGCAGGGTGCTGCAAACCGGCGCCCAAAACTACCAAGCAAACTTCTAAAGCTGAACCCCAGGGACGTGTACACTCACGGGGACCTAGCAGGGGGCGCCACCGATGAGAACAGTGGAAGGGCAAAAACAAACTGAATAAAATGACAGAACCCCCCACCAGGCAAAAACAAAAAGAAAAACAAAACCCCGCAAGAGGACAGCGAACCCCAAGGAACAGAGCCGGCCGCGATGTCGGGAAATACAAGCTGAGCAGCACCCTGCGCCCCTACCAGTGCAAACTGCCTCTTACCTGCCGGTAACAAGGGAGAACAGAACACCCAAGAGCCCAACAGGCGGCCGAAAAACCGAAAGGTAAAACGGACCAGCAGAGGCAGACCCCGAGGAGCCTGTGGAAGGTGGCCCCAAGCCCCAAGGGCAGTACTTACAGGGCACCTAGGGAAGGCAGCCCTAGGCGCATGCAGCCCGAGTACTGAAGATAACTCCTGGCTCTCGCACCCACAAAACTAACACCACACGCAAAGCACAGTGCAGTAGCGACACCGGAGCCAGAGCACACGACCATCGCCTATAGCATCAGCCTCAAGAACTGAGGTGTGGGTAGCCGGCGCGGGGGGTCTGGGGCTCCCCCTTCCCCCTCCCGGGGAGGGGGGAGCTGCGCAGACAGCGGCGCGGCAGTGTGTGACGTCACACTAGTTTGCTTGTTTTCGGTTGGGGAGTTCTATCCACTAGTTCGGTTTTAGGTAGCAATTTTAACCAGAATAGGGGTTTGTTTTGGGGCGCTTACCTTTCTGGGTGCCTGTTCCGGTCGATGGCAGACATAGAATGCTTCCACTAACACGGGGGCTTCTATAGGCCATTGCTCCCCTTGCCTCTCTGAGGGGGCCCGGTTCTGGCCGTGGTCCCCGGTAGGCCTAAGAACTCCATACACATGACTGATGCCAAAGTCTGACATTAGCATATCAGCCTGGGATAGCTCCGGGGAGCCGACGGGGCTCCCCCCAGAAAAAACAGCTTTGAGTGTAATGAAATGTCCATTTCTGGGCGAGAACCAGAGGCTTCCCAGAGCTAACTGGGCAGTTATGAATTTATTAAACCCTGGCATCAGTCTAAGTGAATGGAGTTCTAGGCCTAGGCCCTTCAGAGAGGCACGAGGAACAATGGCTTATAGAAACCCCCTGTGGTTGGGAGCATTCTATGTCTGCCATCAACCGGGTCAGGCACCCAGAAAGGTAAGCGCCCCAAAACAAGCTCCTATTCTGGTTAAGAAATTGCTACTGAAAGCCGAACTAGTGGACAGAACTCCCCAAATGAAAACGAGCATGACGTCACCACGTCGCCGCGCTGCTGTCTGCACAGCTCCCCCCGAATAACCGGGAGGGGAAAGGATGAGCCCCAGACCCCCCACACCGGCTATCTGTGGCAGTTCTATCCAGCCCCAGTTCTGAGGCTGGATGTCAAAAACACAAGAAAAACCACTGACGGGAGGGAGGGAGGGTTACCGAGGAGCCTCCAGGTCTCACCCAGAAAATGGCTTTTCATTATATTCAACACTGGTTTTCTGGGCTCCCAGGAGCTACTTACCCAAAGACAAAACAATAGGGACTACCCAGGAGGCAATCGGCACTTGCACCTCAACGCGAAGTCAAGACAACTGGCTGCAACTGCCGACCCAACGCGACACAGGCCCAACTAGGCCTAGGAACAGTGACCAGGTAGTGCACAGCCAGGACCCTGTTACACCTCCAAAAACCCCGCACGCGAATGTCAGCCCAAGACATGTTACCAAAGACGGCAGCCAGCGCAGCAAACTTACAAACGTTGGGGGCGCAGGGATTGATTGCAGGCTGGCTGGACCAAATAACCCTGCAGACAACCTGGGAGACCCGAACCCTGAAACAGGGAAGAAGGAAAACCGGGTCAACCCAAAGCGCGTCCCCAGCCACAGAGGCCATGGCTCGCAGGTAACGGCAGAGAGCCGCGACTGGACACAACACATGATGCACCCCAGCCAAACTAACTAAGCATCAACAACCCAAGGACCCCCTCTGGAAAGCAGCAGTCTCATTCTTTGCCAGAAAAGAAGAAGACGGCTGTAAACGAACAAACCTACCACCAGGACCGAAAGAGCAGAAAACACTACACCGGAGGAGAGCATGAAGCTCCCCGACCCAACCCCCAGAGGCGAATGCCAACAAGAGCCTTTGAGAAACAATCCTGAACTGATGGGGCCACCACAAACCGAGGGGAAGAGAGAGAAAAGAAAATACTCGATCCAAGGACCAGGACAGCTCAGGCGGCGAGGGAAGCAGGTTGCCTAAGTGAATGAGCAGGTGAAACAATACCCGCGACAGCAGAATTGATTTGTACAGAATCTCAAACGTTCTCTGACCTGTGGTTGGTTATTTCCCGGGTCATTCCTTGCTATGATATTTGTGTTTACCATTCTCCATCTTAGACCTGGTAAATTTAAATCTCCAAGAAAGATAATATCTGGTGCTGGGTTCGCTAGATTATCAAGGATGTTCTCTATTTTGTGTATCTGCTCTGTGAATTCCTCAACCATTGTATCTGGCAGTTTATATATTAGAATTAGGTTTATTTTTTCTACCTTAATTCCAAGTACCTCTACCATCTCACTAGTTGAGTTTAGTAGCTCTGTGCATACCAGGTCCTCCTTAATATCAGCACCCTTCTCCCACCCACCGCCACTCCCTATTTGGCACCCTTCTCAGTATGTGGCTCGCTAGGAGACACTTACCAGGGACGAGTAGTCCTGTTGGCTTTTTGGTGGCCGGCCCAGCCCTGGTTTCAGGCATTTCTTGCTCGATGTTCGAACCCAAGGGTCTTCCCAAGGCTCCGCCTTTTTCAGCAGATTGACTCCATTCCGGTACGTGGTTGGTTCGATCTTCTCCTCTGCTTTTCGTGTCTGGTCTTTTTGACGCGGGTTTATCACCACTTGTATGGTGATCAGGTGGCTTTGTTGGTGTCCCACCTGCGAGTTTCGTCTCGACGGCAGTATGAAGTTTCCTGCCGGTCCTTTCAACACTTTCTCTTCGAAGGTTCTCTTCGATTTCTGATTGGGTTGTTTTGTCCTCTCTCTCTTGGCTGTTTCAGAACCGTCATCTTATGACAAATACTGTCGCCTCGTTTCGGGCGGCACTGGCAGAGCCAGTGCAGCTTGCATTTGGGGTGGATGTCATTTCTGCTCCGTTCCACAAGCTTTCTAGTGTGTTGTTTCACCTCCGGCCTGCTCATGTCCAGGTCGTTGCACCAGGTGCTCTCTTCTCTCTTCTCCTTGGTTTGTGGTGGCCCCCCTCGGTTCAGGACTATTTTTTTACTTTCTATTTTCTTGTTGGCATTGGCCTCTGGGGTTTGGGTTGAAGAGCTTCATGCTCTCCTCTGGCACAGGGGTTTCTGCTCTTTCGGTCCTGGTGGTTGTTTCCTCGTTTGCAACCATCTCCTCCTTTTCTGGCGAAGAATGAGTCTGCTGCTTTCCGAAGGGTCCTTGGGTTGTTGATGCTTAGTCGGGGATGCATCCTGTTTTGCGTCCGTTTGTGGCTCTTCGCCGTTATTTGCGCGCCAAGGCCTCTGTGGCAGAGGATGCGCTTTGGGTTGACCCAGTTTCCCTTCTTCCCTATCCCAGGGTGCGGGTCTCCCAGGTTGTCCGCAGGATTAATTGATCCAGCCAGCCTGCGGTCTCTTCCCGTGCCCACGCCGTTTATAAATTCGTGGCTTTGGCTGCTGTTTAGATAATATGTCCTGGGCTATCTTTCAGGCACGGGGCTTTTGGAGGTCGAACAGGTTCCTGGCTGCACGTTACCTTGTTAATGTTCCTGGTCCTTCTCGGGCATGTGTAGCCTTGAGTCGCAAGTTGTGGCCAGTTGTCTCGACTTTGAGTTGAGGAGCGAGTGACGACCGCCTCCAGGGCGAGTCCATTTTCTTCTTATCTTTGGTTAGGTAGCTCAGGGGAGCCGAAGGGGGTTCTCCACAGAAAACCAGCGTTGAATGTAATGAAACTCCATTTTCTGGGTGACACCCCGGAGGCTCCCCGGCATCCCTCCCTCCGGTTGACGGTTTTTCGCGTATTTGATACTCAGCCTCTGAACTGAGGAGAGTGGCCGGCGTGGAGGTATGGGAACCCCCCCCCCCCCTGGGGAGGGGGGGTTGTGCAGACAGATGTGCGGCGGTTGTGGTGACGTCATGTTTGTTTCCTTGCTTTTGATTGGGGAGTTCTGTTTGCTAGTTCAGCTTTCAATTTGCAATTTTTGACCAGCAGTAGTTTGTTTTGGAATTCCTACCTTTCTGGGTGCCTGATCTAGTAGATAGCAGACAAAGACTGCTTCCAATTACACGGGGGTGTCTTTAGGCCATTGCTCCTCGTGCCTCTCTTGAGGGGGCTAGGTTCTGGCTCTGGTCCCCGGTAGGCCTAGAACTCTTTCGACTGACTATTGCCACGGTCTAATATATACACATCAGCCCGGTATAGCTCCGGGGAGGCTCCGGGTCTCACCCAGAAAATGGCATTTCATTACATTCAACGCTGGTTTTATTTTGTGTGCATGTGGGGACTGGAACATAATTTGTGTGTGCAGTTTAAGGATTAAGAAATGATAAGATATTTATATTAGAGGGCTAGTTTGCTCTAAGCATTGAAAAATTTTAACTTTAATCATCAAATAGTTAGAACTTTAGAAAAAAAAAACTATGATGTAATCTTCTTAAATATACACATAAAAGAAATGTAGACATACTGTTTTTTTTGCCTTGATGAAAAGGTTGCCTTGTATAGCCCCTTCAGAGGTAATGTTGCCGTGCTCAGTGTTAATATGAATGTTGTGACTTTTAAGCCCGCAAGTGTTCACTTCACCCTCTTCAGTAGACAAATGTACTTCATCAGCCTCTATCCCCAGGATCTGAACACTGGCCTGGTGAAACAAGTTAACATCCAGATCTGCAAACACACACATTAAGAAGAATACTGTCATCTACCAAAACTATATAGTCTAATACGTAAGAGTTATCTTTAAACCGCTGGGGTAAAATGTATTACAGTATTAAAACTTCACTATTGCAATCACTATTATCAATTCATATCATAGTAATGTTGAATGCAGATTTTACTACAATGTACATATTAATATTCTTCAAATTTTCTTTTAGCTTTTAACTTAACATTGACCTAACTTTTCTTTTCACCTGACTATTCTTGCTCACTCTCTCCACTCCTCCCTCCCTCCATGTTTATCTTGTTCCTTCCATTTCTTCTCTCGATTTCATTATTCATCACAATAATTGTTACAGAAACCTCACTCTTCTCGTCAGACAATAAGTCAAGAATTGGATGTAATGAAGCACACTTTTCTGGTCAGTCTCTCAGTAGCTTCTCTGAGCTTAAGCATAGGTACTACTGAGCCTTCAGATAGTACCATGCCCATGAGACCTATGCAGGCCTACCAGGAAAATAACCTAATATTTCCTTACACCCAATGCCTCAAATTACCAGGTGGTAGGTCCCTGGGAGTTAACACAATTTTTGTGGGTTACATCCTGGGGAAAGTTAATTGCTGCCAAGGGGGATATTTGGTGGCTCCTTGGTGCTACTGATTTCTAGCAAAAAATTTAAATGTTTTGTCACACTGGCAACCCTGCTGTATGAATATCATGCATCACCGAGGGCTAAACTTTTGCATATGTATGTATATTACTTCATGCACTCTAATGTCCTACAAATTTTCACAAAATTCGATATGATCAAAATGGGGGCTGAGATAATTTTGACCCCATAACACTTCCTGCAGTACCTCCTCTTCACATCCATCCCCATTAATCCTTCTCAGTAATAATCCTTTGGATTATTTTCTATCTCAACTTGCCATCGTCAGGAAACAGGAAGCAAATTAAGACTTACCAAGCCCCCTCCCCCCAGGTCATCTACAAGTACTCACCATCCCTAGGCTGCAACCTACAAAGTTGTGTACCTCCTGGAAACTATTTATTGCTACATGAACAGAGGCCTCAAGTGAAACAAGGCGTGTCATAACACCTCCATCCTACCACTGGAACTGAACTTGGCACTTTTTGTTTATGAACCGACTGCGCTGACCACTCTGCTATTACAAATCATATTCCCTAACAAAAATTCTACATAACAATCTCTATAGTATTTGGAAATATGCTTAGCACTTGTCACTTTCCTACAATACTATATATACTGTAATTCATGTATATACCTAATATACAAGGCTTATGAACCTTAAAACTTTATCAGGTGATCCTGCTCAGATCCTATTATGAGAAGAATAGACACAAGCTCTAGAAACCTGCTTCATCTAAAACATTTAACAAATTGGTCAGGTATCAGACCATTGATCAGTGGTCTGAGAAATGCATAGATACAATACTAAGCTTACCATATTTAATTGGAATTTGTACTTCACAGAACATCTTTGGCGACTGTGGAGATGCTGTAACTGTGAGTGTGTCTTTCAGTTCTCCTGTTAGTTCAATATTAATGTCATCACACGAGACAGTAGGTAGTCCATAGATGCTAATAAATGCTCGATCTGCATCAGGATACTCCTGCAAAATCATTGCCTTCAATCAGATATGTTCTACATTCAATACATATTCTTTAAGACATATAGATCTCGGTAAATAGATATTAGGAAAGTGAAGCTATGTATCAGGTGTCTAGCACAAATTGAGCTAGACCAGAACCCTCAGTGAAGCAGAAAGAATTGACTGTTGAACAAATGTTGCAGCAACAAAATATAGTGTCCACTAAACAGAGCCAACTTGATGGAATAACTCAACTTTTTGTGGAATAGTTAACTGTCTCCAAGTACAGTGCTGGTATACACATATTGGCTATTTTATACAGTATTTTGTTATAAATGTTTTACTGTTCTCCAAGAGGACGAATTAGGGACTGGTAACCCGGTCCAAACCTACACAAGCCTGAGAGGGTCCCAGCACATTAACAAGGCAAAAAGCTACCAAAACCCCATTAGATTTCCAAATCTCCAAGCCAAAATATCAGCCCAAGACATATTGGAGAGGACAGCAGACAAAGTTACAAATTAATGCACATCAAGGGGCCCCAAGGGTAGACCACATCCATAACCCTGAGACAAATGGATAACTCCGGAACCTTGTAATGCACCCAATATGGGGATGAGTACCCAAACTCAAAAGAGGTCAGATCCATTGGCCTTGCCAATGGATCTGACTTCTGAATGGATCTGATTGGGTCGCACAGGAGGTACATAAATAAGAGGTCAGAACCTTCGAAGGGGAAACCTGAGAGGAAGGGAACCCCCTGGAAGATTCCTCTGCCAGGTGTTCAAAAGACACCTAGAGGGTCCTTTTCAGAAGTTCCAAAGGCACCTGGAGGCAAACTATGCAGAAAGTCACACTCAAATCCAACTCATACAGGGAGGTGGGATAAGAAAACCCCTCCTCTAACAAATGACCCTCTGCAGAAGACGTGAGGTACCATGAAGGTTCCCACAGGGCCAATTCTGACTTCTATGCTTTAGAAGGCAGAGCAGAAGGCCCCGGAGCTGAACAGTTGTCCACACCCACCGCCTGGGACAGGTAAGCGGAGTCCTGGAGAGAGGCTTCATGGGAAGAAGAGGCCGGCTGGCAAGAAGGCCAAGAAGCCTCGGAGGGACCGAGAGACTCGAGTACCTCCGTGCCAGAATCAAAAAGAGGAAAACCCCAAGACTAAGCCACATCCCAAGCAAAACTCTGCCCCGACTCCCAAAATCTCAAGACATTTCATGACTGGAAGCAGGGGAAAAAGGAACAAAGGAAGGGCGAACTACACCCAACAGGGAGGGATGAGGGGCTACAGATTTGCAAGACTTAAAATCTTTGGACGTTCCCTAATACAGTACAGTGGAACCTCGGTCTACGAATCGTACACTGAATCAAATTTTCCCATAAGGAACAAAAAACCAGCGTTGAATGTAATGAAACGCCATTTTCTGGGTGAGTCCCGGAGGCTCCCCGGAGCTATCCCAGGCTGATATGCTAATGTCAGACTTTGGCATCAGTCATGTGTATGGAGTTCTTAGGCCTACCGGGGACCACGGCCAGAACCGGGCCCCCTCAGAGAGGCAAGGGGAGCAATGGCCTATAGAAGCCCCCGTGTAGTTGGAAGCATTCTATGTCTGCCATCGACCGGAACAGGCACCCAGAAAGGTAAGCGCCCCAAAACAAACCCCTATTCTGGTTAAAATTGCTACCAAAAACCGAACTAGTGGATAGAACTCCCCAACCGAAAACAAGCAAACTAGTGTGACGTCACACACTGCCGCGCCGCTGTCTGCGCAGCTCCCCCCTCCCCGGGAGGGGGAAGGGGGAGCCCCAGACCCCCCGCGCCGGCTACCCACACCTCAGTTCTTGAGGCTGGATGTCAAAAACGCGAAAAAAACGCCGACCGGAGGGAGGGAGGGATGCCGGGGAGCCTCCGGGACTCACCCAGAAAATGGCGTTTCATTACATTCAACGCTGGTTTTCTGGGGGGAGCCCCGTCGGCTCCCCGGAGCTAACTACCCACAGACAGAAAAAGAGGGACTTACCCGGGAGGCGGTCGTCGCTCACCCCTCAACTCGAAGCCGAGACAACTGGCTGCAACCGCCGACCCAAAGCAACACAGGCCCGACGAGGCCCAGGGACATTCACAAGGTAACGAGCAGCCAGGACCCTGTTCGACCGCCAAAATCCCCGCGCCCGAATATCAGACCAAGACATATTCCCAAAGACGGCAGCAAGAGCCGCGAACTTACGAACGTCATGGGCACGGGGATAGACCGCAGGCTGGCTGGACCTAATAACCCTGCGGACGACCTGAGAGACCCGAACCCGCGAACAGGGAAGAAGGGAAACCGGATCAACCCACAGCGCGTCCCCGGACACAGAAGCTGTGGCGCGCAAATAACGGCGAAGCGCCGCAACCGGACACAAAACATGATGCACCCCCGGCCTGACCAACCAAGCATCAACCACCCATGGACCCCTCCGGAACGCAGCAGTCTCATTCTTCGCCAGAAAAGAAGGAGACGGCTGCAAACGAACAAAACTATCACCACGACCAAAAGAGCAGAAACCCCTGCGCCGGAGGAGAGCATGAAGCTCCCCTACCCGACCCCCAGAGGCCAAAGCCAACAAGAAAAGTGCCTTGGAAAAACAATCCTGGACCGAAGGGGCCACAACGAAACGAGGAGATGAAAGGAAAGCGAGCACTCTGTCCAAAGACCAGGACGGCTCAGGCGACGCATGAGCAGGCCGGAGGTGAAACAATGCACGAGACAGCTTGCGAAACGGCGCAGACGTAACATCGATACCGAAAGCAAGCTGAAGCGGCTCCGCCAGCGCCGCACGATACGAAGCGACAGTGTTAGGCATAAGATGACGGTCCTGAAACAACCACGAGAGGAAGGACAAGACCACCCGAACAGACAAGGAGCTAACACGACGAAGACGCAAAAAGAAACGGAAGGACCGCCAGGAAACTTCATACTGCCGCCGAGAAGAAGCCCTCAGGTGGGACACCAACAAGGAGGCCACCTGATCACCATAGAGATGATGATAGACTCGAGTCAAAAAACCATACGCGAAGACTCGAGGAGAAGATCGAACCAGCTACGTGACGTACCGGCCCGATCTGCTGAAAGAGGCGGAGCCGCGGGAAAACCCTCGGGTTCGGACACCGAGCAACCAGCGCCTGAAACCAAGGCTGGGCCGGCCACCAAGGGGCCAGAAGGACAACTCTCCCCCGGTAAGTCTCTAAGCGAGTCAGGACCTGGAGCAACAGCCGAACCGGGGGAAAGAGGTACAGGAACCCCCACCTCGACCAGTCTAGCCGAAAGGCATCGACCCCGACGGCCTCGCAATCGGGGAAGGGCGCCGCATACGCGGGAAGACGCCGCGACCACGCCGACGCGAAGAGGTCCACCTCGGGGCGCCCGAACGTCTGGCAACCGAGCAAGTCAACCGCAGGATTCGGGACTGCCAATCGTCGGACCAGGGACACTCCGTGGAGAGGAGCCGAACCTGAGACAGCGAGTCATCCGAAAGGGCGTCCCAGGCCAACGGGACGTTGAATGAACACAGCCCGCGTCCGTGGAACCGGAAACAAACGGGAAACCCATCTGAACGTCCGACGAGCCCAAGCGTACCCACTCCAAGACGAGTCAGGGAAAGAAACCTGCCCTGCCAGCCCCGACCCCCCAAGGGGGGAGGGGCCACCCAACGCCACCGCAGGCCGCGAGACACAACCCGAAAGGCCCATGAATCGTGGGACCAGGTGCGGGCGAACAGCGCAAGCCGCCCCCCCATCGCCCCGTCAAGGGGGCAAACCGCGAAAGGGCCGGCGACCCTTATGAGACCCAGAACCCCGCACAGCGCGAACACCGCGCCGACCAGACGCGGGAGGGTCCGCAGGAGGAGCCAACCCCAAACCTGACACCAGAGGCCTACCACGACGAGAGGAACCTCGAGCCCTGGCACGACCTTTCCGGGAAGACCCACCCCGGGACCCCCGGAAAACCAACAAGTCCGACATCGGACGACAAGCCGCCGACGCAGCCTGAATAAACTGCGCCACGGCCGACTCCCCAAACAGGAGAGGACAAAAAGGTGAAGAACACCTAAGAGCCAGAGCCCAAGCAGATTCCACGGAGGAACCCAGCACCGCCTGCCGACACGCGAGACGGGAAGCATAGAACAGGGAAACCGCATCCCGCAAAATCGGCGTGAACAGCTTCAACAAGGCAGCCGACGAACGCGCAGCCGAGGACAAGGTGCCGGACCCCGGGACGGACCCAAGCGTCCCCACATCCTCCACGAGCCAATCCGAAGACAGCTCCAGGAGGGAAAAGAACCGCAAGGCCGAACACAAAAGGCCCCGGGCGCGCAAGTCCTCCGCCACGAGCGCCGCCGAAAGGGAGGGAACCTGCACATGGAGCTGAATAACGCCCACATCGCGGGGAAGGGCAGGGGCAAACAAGCACTCATTCAGGTACTCAAGTTCACCCCCAGGAAAACCTGAAGCACCGTGGAAGCTTCCCGCCACTCCAGCGTGCGGGAACGACAGAAGGAATGCCAGGAATCCAGACCAAACAAGGGGCAGTCTGCTAGCCAGGACGACTCCGGAACCTCGTAACGGAGCCAGAAAGGGAACGAAGTCCCAAACCTGAACGTGGACGGATCCATTTCCGAGGCATAATCCGGGTCACGCAGGAGGTAAGCTGCAAAGGCCGCTCGCACCACACCAGGTTGGATGCGATAAGCCGAAAACCTCCGGAAGGACGGAACCGACGTACCCGGGGGAACACGGAACCGAACCCGGGGAGGGGCCGACACCAAATCCAACTCGTACGCAGAGGGGGGGAAAGAAAACCCCACTCCTTGTAACAATAAGCCCCGCTCAGTGGGAAGAAAAACCCAGGCGGGGTCCAGCGGGGCCCAAGGCCCCCAAGTCAGCCCCTCCCCAGCCTCGAGGTCCGTCACCACAGGACCCGAGGCCGAGTCCTCTCCCCAAGCCCCGACCCCACAAGACAAGGACGGAGCAG